AATTTATAAAATTCGTCACTATCACAAGTACAAATATCACCTTTGCAAGTAGTGCAAGAAGTATCAACATTTTTATCACTATTAGATAAATCAATTAACTCAACTTCGTCTTCAGATTCAGTCTCAGAGTAATAGTCAGATTCTGATCCTGAAGTGTATAACAAGCCATAAACCTTATCGCGTAACTCATCATCGAGTTCTAAGGTTTTCAGCTTTTGAAGCTTGCAATTTGGAGAAATATGACCAAACTTTCCACACTTATAACACTTAATATCAGCGAGATCTCTTTTTGATCTATTCTTCGTAAATCAAGTAGATTTTCGATGCGCTATTCTAGTATCACGTTCTTCCTTAGGCCTATATCTAGACCTCTTTTTCTTATACGGGCTATCCAGGTAAGGATACCTATGATAACNCGAAGTTGGCCAGTAAATCCTGCAATAATCATTTTGCAAATAGTTCTATCCGTATTTTTAACACTTTTACAGATAGTCGAATACATAAGCATTCTGTGTACGAGAATGGTTAATTGTCTATCAGTTAAACCATCAAGATTTCATTCATAAATTTCGGAACTTTATAAATTAAAATACATATTAAAATTAAGAAGAATAAAAGGGAGGGAAAAAAGAAAACCAACGCCTGCCCTAGCTGTGCAGACACTGGAGGAGAAAAAGTGAAAAAGAGAAGAGAAGAAGAAGAAGAAGGAGGAAGAAAGAAGGAAAAAGAAAGAAAAAAGAGCAGAATCTGGACGGGAACAAGAAGAAGAAAGGAAGAAGAAAGAAAGAAAAAATGAGACGAAGAAAGGAGAAGAAGAAACTTACCTGGAAACCCTAGTTTTGTCGATGAAGAAGAGAGAAGGGGTCTCTGTTTTGTCAAGCAATTACAGAAGCGAGGTTAGGGGTTTGTTTTGTATAAATTAAAAACAGACCCAATCTTTTTTTTTAAAAAAAAAGGCCCAGCTGCGATTTTTGAACAAAAGCGATCGATTCGTCGCTTCGCTCGCCTCGTCGCCTCGTCGATTTTTCCTCTGAAGCGTGTGCTTCAACTGTTCGTGTCGCCTTAGGCACAGTAAAGCGATGCTCTGTCGCTTCGTGCTTTAAGCGACGAAGCGCGCGCTTTTCCAACACTGATATCCAAATCCAACACAAACAAATGACAAACACGAGTCTGCCGTGTTGTTTTGATTTATTAAATTTTAGATACACGCCAGTCGATTTTGGCATCTGTGTCTCTGGTTTCGGAGACATGTCCAGAAAGGAGATACCAGGAGGACAATACCAAGTGCAAGATATGTTGTTTTTACAGTACCATCTTGGTACTTGCCTTAATAATATTTACTTATCTTATCAAAAAAATACCAAGAGCAAGATATGAATTTTGGAAAAAATAGTTCGTTCTTGTGTAATAATTGAAACTTATACACACAATCCCGTAACCATATCATCAAGAACTCAAAGCCATAGGATATAGAAGAAGAAGAAGAAGAAGAAGAAAGCAAAAAAGAAAGTGTTGTTTAGCTTCCATCCCTCTACTCCATTCCGTCCAAACCAGAGATTTCCTAAAACCCATACTTGTTTACTCTATTTGTGGACGAACAAACTAATAGTACAGAGAAAGGTTTCCTCATACATGCTATTTGAAGATAGTATTATGTTAATAGCCAACCAGTCAATAAAAAGTTGTAACTATGAGGAGGCACCCAAGAAAACAGGGGTTCTAAGATAAGTAAAAGCATGGCATAATATACATATACCACAAGTTCAGCCGTATAAGAACAAAAGAATAAGTGAGATTTGATGCGATAATGGCATCTAAATGTAGACAAATCAAGTATCTATACACTATTTTCTAGGATGATGTAATTGTAACACGATAAAATAGGATGGTTGATATTGAGGAGTCCTGTGAATGCAATATTATAATGAGTGAACATTGGATCTATGGCCCAACATATCGTCAAGATTAGAGTTGTAAAACTACCAATATTAAGATAGATGTGTGATCATACATGATTGGACAAGATGAACATGCTTACATCAGACACATGATGCAAATAGCACAAATAAAGGATTAAATTAGAAGTCATTGATGATTTGGCTTCTCCTCCTCAGACATACAATGCACCGATATACTCGACGCTGTTGAAGGTGCTCAAACAGGACATAGTGAATCTAAAATTAAACTGAAGGAAGTTGATTTAAAAGATATACAACCTCTAGAAATCAATGGCGCTAAGAACAGAACTCAAAGGAAAGAAAGGATCTATATGGGTGATACCAACTAATTGAGATTTAACAAAAAATTATTTTGTTCCTGCACTAAGATTATGTCCATTTGTTTACCAAAACGTGTTGGTCTAATTAGAGAATTGCATGTCGGTAATGCAACCGTGTCAGATTTATTGAACCTCTACTTATTGGAAATTGCGATTTAGTGAACCTCTACTTTAAGAATAGATGCAATTTGCCTTAAAGACAAATTATGTACTGGTATTGAAAAGGACAGGGCCCAAAAGAGCAGAGTGGATATATGGATTTACATGACCAACTCCAATTGGTTTGTAATTGTGAATTGCAGTTGATTGAATGAGATAAATTGGTTTCTGTGCACTTACAGATACTCTTTTCAAGTTGTCTAATCGAAACTTTCGAGAAGTTTTATTTTGTGTCTCATACAACTTACATTAGTTGTATGAGGCTCCTTTTTGTCTCACAAATTTGTGGACCTCAATCTTACACTTCTGGGTCCACAAAAATCTGGGTCCACAAAACTGTGAGACAAAAAAATTGCCTCATACAACTAGTTTCAGTTGTATAAGACACAAAATAAAATTTTCCGAAACTTTCCTCGTGCTCAAGAGTCAAGATAGCTTTAAAAATTAATGAAAAGATCTTAGGGTCGATTTAGGTCACCAAGATTGAAGCAGGCAAAACCATGTAGAGGGAAAAGAAAGGCTCAAAATGGAGATAAGCAAGTGTTCAAACTCACATCGAATTTCAATCTAAGATACCGTTATTTAAGGAATGTAACATAACAACAGCGACAACAGCAAAAAATAATAACAAGAAGGCAGTGGCGGCTTTGGATTCCGCATATTTTGGCTATGAACATTTTCAGGACCACATTCACAGGCAAGAAAAGGTTGCAGGTATGTATCTACTTGATTTTTCTGCAAAAAAACATTACACAAAAACAATAAGTATTACAAAACTAACTCCATACCACAAAAAGGAGGAAAAACTTGTAGTTGCGGGACCCCACACAGTTGACAACCCATATGCAGTGATGATCCATCTTAAGAACACATCTGTGACCTACAGGACATGACAGAATTTCCAGTTCAGCAGATATCTATTTTAGGTCTCATATATGTGCCTAATTTCTGCAAATTGAGATATGCCATGATAGCCATAGAACAACAGATTTTAAGGATAAATTAATGCAAATAATCATGTGACACTTCTAAGACATGGTGCAGAGAGATAGAAATCACCACGCTTACTACTTCATGGCAAAATATACATACCCAAAATCAACCAGACTTTGACAGGAGAACTGTTTAACGATACAGAGAAGAGATATGAAAACAACAATAAACCTTTCATCTCACACCCAACATGCTAGATAAGGATTGAGATAAAGATCTTAGGAGGCATTGCTCCAGCATGTGCTACTCCTTTGGGCTAGAGGCGGAAAATGGATAAAACAGTAACAAACATGCAGGGTATAAATGGGCATGGGTGAAGATTTATACAACTCACATATAATCCATTTACCCACCTCGTCACCTATACCTCCACCGAAGGCAAGAGGAAACTTTATCTTGGCAATCGTAATTTGGATATAAGCATATACTTAATTAGAATAGCACGTACAAACAGAACAATGATGACAACGTGGTGGCTTGCCATTTTGGCATTGACTGCAATAGCCTCTGGACTGTGACTGTCTTCTTTCTATCTGGTCTGTTGATACTGTTGGAGTATTGTTCTCGATTGATGCATAATCAGTTAAAGCAACAGAATTACCCTCCTCTATGTTCTGCTCAGATACTAGTTTCCAGTTTTCAGGGACCGAACCAGGGTCCTGAATTACCACCTTAATATAGCTCCACATTAGCAATACAAGCTGCAAGATGAATTACAAGTTTATATTAGGCTACTGAATCAAAGGTAACAATCCTCAAAAGAAAATGATGCCTCCTCTAGGTAGTTTCCTGGTAATTTGTGTACCAAGTCGAAGTATAAAAGTAGGTATTGTTCCTGCGAATTTTCTATTTCAATAAGTGACTCATGTTTGCAACGTACAAATGATCTGCAACTCCAGGCATATCAAAGTGAGCAAAAGCGCAGTGTCTATACAATAAGGAAATGTCTGAGTCATGTATTTCATGAATCTCATGAACACAGCAAAACGGCAGTTTCTGAACAAATACAGAATGGTGGATTCATGTTTATTAATGAATCTTTCGGACATGATAGGCAAAGTAAAGTTTCATTATAACATGGATTTTGAGTCTGGTAAATAGAACGACAAGAATGTTATAAAGGAACCACAACAGCTCAACATCAAGTACTACATACTGCAGCCTGCAGGTTTGGAGAAGTGTGAATTAGATGGGAATTCTCAAAAGACATGAGGGCAAGTAGATATTCGCCGATGCTGTTGTATGCTACAGAGCTTAGCAAGAATGCTAAGCATTTAGTCATTGTTGTCTCATCTATCTCTTTGAGCAGTAAGGAATTAGAGTTTCAAACTTCTCTCTTTACATGTTCTATGAGTTACTTGAGCAGGCAAGCTAAGGAAGTGGGAGATTGTCTACCTCATGCTTGAGTCACTCAAAGTAGTCACTACTCTTGCAAATGACAGGCAAGACTTTGACTAGTTAGTAATATCATAGATAATCACAACTGGCATGAGAGAAAAATCTAAGGACAAAATCTGGGCACTTGCTCAAATACTCTAACCCTTAACTGCTAAAATTGCATGCTGGATAACTAACAACTTGTTTTCCAATTTCAGTTTGGTCTAAACCTTTCCTTTCCAGCTTGTAGGAAGATAATTGCTGACTCCACTCAATGGTAAATCTTCCCAAATATATCCTTCAATCCATTTTCCTTGATGGGATTACCTTTCAAATTTTTCTTGATTTTTTATATGACAGCCTTTCATCTACACAAGTTTGGATTGTCATTAATTTTGGCTACCTTTTCACATAAGTGAAAGTTTTAGTAATAGCAACAACCAGCACTATTCAGAAAAAAATGTGTATCCATTTTCCATGATATAACATGATGCAAGAACATTGTCGTTGGAATAGTGCAAGCATTGTTGTCAAAGGCAAAAAGCATCAAAATCCCTTAAGCACTTTAGTGAAGGAAGGCGCAAATGAAGAGAAAGTAAAGAATCTTATGTAAGAAAATTACTCGCTCTATTCCATTTTATGTAACACTGTTTTCTTTTTAATCCATTACAAAAAGAATGATATCTTTCTATATTAGAAAACTCGTTCACTTTGAATTTCCCATTTACCCTCAATGATATGCTCTTATAGCCATAAAAAATGCCATGGTATATTTAAGACTAGAAGTTTTTGGTATATGCCAAAAAATTTCTTTTTCCGTTAACTTCTGACACAACCAAATACTGCCAAATAAAATAAATCAGAAGGAGTCTATAAATACCTACAAAGAAAAAGAACCACTATAAATACATAAAGCAACATTCTGAACAAATGAATTAAAAGAAACAGTATGGAAGTGAATTATATGAAGTTCTTTTCTCTTTTTCATATAACTTGATGACAATAGAGTTCGGACCAGTTCGGTAGCACATTGACTATCCATCGAGCACCTATTGCCTCCCACCAGCATGAGTATCGAGTAACTCTACCCCCAAGGCCTACGCAGATTAGGAGAGATCACTAAGTATTTTTGTCTCGACCTTGGTCTACAAGATTTGAACCACTTCACTAACCAATGAGGCACACCCTTGGATACTATGTGAAGTAAGAGATTCGATTCGGAACTCTTATATGTCCAAGGTTCAATATTGAAATAATTTCAGAGGTTT